TAGTAACATTCACCCTCCCTCTCAGAACAGTTTCACATTTTTGGCCTCTGTCACATCCTTAGTTCCGTTTTTTTCTGACAGAACAGGACCACCATCACTCAGCCAATCAGTTCCCAGCCCAAAGCGTCAAAATGTGACTCACAGGGTTCTTTCTAGCACTTATATGAAGAAGAAGAAGACAGAGGCAGCATGTTTTGGTCTGATATTACTTTTTTGCTAGACTCTTTCTCTTGGGATAAAACACATGTATTATTATTTATTTGACAAAAAAGTTAGGTACAGCTTTAAACAAGTCAAAATGCGCCCAAACTATTTACAAACTCAAAGAACTCACTCGTAAAGTGGTGTAACAAGAATTCTTTTGGTTTTTATTGTTTAACTTAATTTAACCATGATCCTGCTATTGGGATTTAGTATTTATCTGGGGACCCTGTGTTTCGTAAATGTGATGTTATACAATTTCAGCCATCTTCCAATCCAAAAGTGTGTTGAAATAATGCAACAACAAAACAAAAAAATCACAACAAACATAATTGTTCATTTGAATTTGTTGTGATTAGTTCTGCAATGGACTTTTTATAGACATTTTTTGGTGACAAATTATTTTACTTTGATTGGTTTCTGAATACACATTGGATGAGGGATGACTGTCTTTGGTGCTGACCACTGAACATGAGTTCTTCTGCGGTCACTTGACACTTTTCTTTTCTCCTGCTCTATTTACTAGCACTTTTCCCCTGAGCATATTTATCAGGCCGATATCACCAGAAGGGGCTCAATGTTGTGTAATCACAGTGAACAAGCGTCAGAAGCAAACGTAGATCAGATTAAGTCTCCCAGCAGCCCCTGTCCACTCTGCTCCTATCCATACATCTCTACGCCTTTTACCTCCTTTTTAGCCAGAATACATCAGTTATCCAATCTGTCGTTCCACAGAAATGCAGCCAGCACTTACTGCAGCAGAGCCATGGATCTCCCAGACAAGGCGGCAATTTGACAACATCATTCTGATTTAGTGAAATTGAAAAATGACTTGCGGGAAAAAAGGAGGGGCGTCCAGGGACTAAACCAAAGTGTCAGGGGTGTCAAGCATGCTAATATAATTTAAGGCTAAATGACACCCATTTCACAAGAAGCCAACAAGAAACTCCTGTGGTACTCATCTCGTCTGGGACATTATGCCAATAACTTAGCTCCATTACACCTGTCAGGATGAAAAATGGCTTTATTTTAAGCCGTCAAAGGGAGTAGTCGTAGCTATAGAGGATTTATTGACAGAAACATGGCCATTTTACAACACAAGACTTCAGAGTTCAAATGTCAAAGCACCATGGACTCATCTTAACTATAAACTTAACATTTAAGCTGCATCATTATGATGGTAACTTTGCACCTTTGAAGTTTTAAAAGTAATCTGCATGAAGTATTTGAGATGTTTGACCTCATATCCAAAAGTTATTCTCAAATCTGAAAGACTTTTTTTGAAATGTTTTCTACCAATAACATCCCATCCATCCTCCTCCACTTTATCCATGGCCGGCTTTTCTCAGAAGAAGCCGATTAGCGCTACCGCAAACAGGAATTTGGAAACAGCTTTGCCATTAGGAGCCAACTTAAGTAGGAGCAACACTTTACCCATAACTGCTTCTCTATTAGGATTCCTCAAGCGAGTGGGTTAGCATAGTCTATTTCTATATACAGCCTGCGATTTCAATCAATACTGAGAGAAAAAAATTCTGCCAGGACAGGCAGCACTGTCACTTGCTATCAATATTCACTCATCATCAATACTTCTTCTTTGTGACAGTCATTTACTGTCTTTATACATTCAGAATCAGTGCAAGAAGACAGACATAGTAAGTCCAAGAAATCACTGTTCATTATAAGGTTCAAAAATCCTTATTGATTCAGAGAATAACAAACTAAGCACATAAAACATTACAGCTTACAAAGCGTTGGATAGTTTCACCACTTGGGTCCCATCGATTCCTCATCTCAGGCTGCGGGCCATTACAGAGATGAAAAGTGGGCATCAGTCTGTGCTGGTGCTGTCCCCGTCCTCTGACAAAAGTGTGTCTGTGCTGATCCCGTGGCCCACCAGCTCTTCACATCGTCGGGGGAAATTAAACTTCGCCAAACAGATTAGATGTCAGCGTACTGAAAACGCAATTTTTCATCTTTACCCACCACTAATCTCAGAGGAGGAAGTAGGATCTTTAAAGACACGACTGCGCAGAGCGGGAATGTGTGTCAGCAGAGTAGATGGGACACGCGACAAAAACTACAGTTGTTTTCCCTGCTGCTGAGGAGAGTGCTGTCAAGGGCCAGCTGGAGCTATGGGAAACATACTAGATACAGCCGTTGTACATGTGCGGTAAGAGAAATACGAGGACTTTTATGTTGATGATCAGATAGTACTCTTTACTTTGATCCATCACAGTACTTTCTGGACTATTGGCCACCACTTTTTTCAATATGTTTGAACTCTGCGACCTAAATTGCAAATGTATGTATTTTACTTTTGTTAGAGCAGCACCTGGAAGGAATATGGACACAGCATGAATCTGCTGTTGATCTCCAGAGCTGTTGACGACCACAATCCTACTTCCTGTTGAGTTTATGTGAACAGCAGAGAGACATGACGAAGAGTGCTTTGATCATCAAAAGTCAATAGTGCGTTGCTTCATCAGCTGTTAGATGAGCGGCATCTAACAGCTGATATTTTCAAGTGAGGCCTATATGTGGACAACATTTTAATTTCATTCAATTTTTTTTGATTTTAAGTACAGCAGCATCTTTGTCTTTCAGTAGTTTATACATCAGCCACCAACATGTGGCTCCTTTAAACCTGGAACATCTCCTGTGTTCCAGGTGGCAGGGTGGCTGAGTGGATAGCACTCTCGCTTCTCAGCAAGAAGGTCCTGGGTTTGAATCCTGGTTGGAACAGGGCCTTTCTGAGTGGAGTTTGCATGTTCTTCCTGTGTCTGTGTAGGTTTCCTCCGGGTGCTCCCCTCGGTTTCCCCTACCACTAAAGACATGCACAATAGGTATGAATGTAAATGAGAGAGTGAATGGATAGTGTTGATTGGGGGCTGATGCGCCAGTGCCAGTTATCACCGTGTGGAATGATTGGAACAATATCTGAACTCTGAACATTGAAAAGCGCTTTGGGTGACCTTGGTTTGTAAAAATGCGCTATACAATATAGAAAAAACATTACTTACTTACTTACTGTGGCGATGCGGTGACAAGAGCGCCTCCGTGTCACCCCCTGTAGCTACAGTGTTATCCCCTGCTGCTGTTATAGAAAGGAAGAAGGAGTATGTAGCGCCTTTCACCGAACAGTCACAAAATGATAAGAATATACAAAGAAACAACACACATTTGCTAAATATGGCATAACAAACATTGAGATGGGCCCAAAATCCTATTTTTCCACAGCTCCTACTCTTCCTCCGTAACCAGAGCAAGAAGATGCCTTTTTCAGCCTCCTCCAAAAGTTCTTTTGCACCTTTCCCTCCAGTTACTCTTGCATCCCTCAAGAGTGGTGCCAATGAGTTCGCCTCAAAGCCTCGACACCCAGCCAGCTCCCCGGCACTCAGTGACCAAGTCAGAATACTTTGCCCTCAAAGGTGTTTGATTGCGTTGTTGGTTGACTTTCTTCTTTTGGTCTTGAATGAGGTTTGCAAATGTGTCATTGCAACACACATACATTTTAGTTACATATTTCATTATAACTATGATGATCGGTCCTTATTTTTGAGATGCTTATGAGACATATGATACAAAATCAACTTTTTTATGTTTTAACATGAAATGATCACAGACATAGAGTTGTTTATAGATGCATCATTCTCTTATCAAGAACACATTACTCTGCCTCTTCAAACGAAAAAACTCCTTTTGCATTCCTGTAATATCATGTCGTCATTTTACCACTATGATGACACGCTGTTATGGGAATTCTGATGCTTCAAATGAAATAATTCCGAGAGGAAACAAACTTGTCCTTTTGTGCAGTTTATTTACAGAAGTGATGAGTACAAAAATGACATTTCTGCGCAGAAAGAGTCAAACAGAAACGGGATCTGGAGCGATGCCGTGTCTGTCTGTTTCCCCAACAAGCGTGTCTATGATCTTATACTGGAGGTGTGTCAGACAGAACAATGAGCATTCGTCACAAGAGAGATGAGTCATACGCGGCTGCAGACGGGAAAGTTTGGGAGATACATTAAGCGCACCGAAAGGACCTTCGAATTTGATAAGAAGGAACACGCTGTGAGTACATTTGAGATAATGCACCTGCAGATGGTGACCAAGGCTATCGCTGAACAAGAGGCCCTTTGTGCTAATGTTTCAAACAGTGATGGGAAGCAGTTTCAGACGCTGGGAAACAAGACGCATGTATCGACCTAAATGATTAGAGTTTGTCCTGTGCCGGGAACTGACCATAACACACGCCCAGACGAGTTTCTACCTTTTAAGACAAAATTGTTGTCTATGAATTAGTTTTGGCAATTTCTCTGGTGTAATAGCATTATTTTCAGTCATATGGCTGTGTTTGCAGCTGGTAATTTTCTAATTTGAAACAAAAACAAAACAAAGAATTTGCATCGTACACCTCCCTCTGGCTGATCAATACCATTATTTACCCTTGATGCTTGTTTCACCATATATCGTCTACTGAATATATAATTTCATCGCAACGTAAATAGTCGCAATATCATTGTTATGGCCAAACAATATGTATATATATATTTTTTTTTGTGATATGTATTCACTAAAATGGCACATCTCCAAACTAAAAGAAACAACATCTACAAATCTAACCAAATCTGGCTCTATGGCTTTTTATTACTCGTTGTTACTTATTTAGCCCTGCCAATCCGCTCATGCTTCACCCTACACACACACATACACACACACACACACACACACACACACACACATAACACACAGTAACACAGTAGACCATGCATTAGATTCTCATCGGCATTTCTTCAGTGCAGCCTGGATGTGACACAGTCTGTTGTCTCAGCGTGGGGCACGAGAGCTTGATCTGGACTGAAGGAGAGCGCCCAGTGTCCGGCCGCATCTGCAGGGGGGCGCAGGAAACACGCCTCCAACCACATAAGGCTCACCGTCTCTGAGCTTTCGACGGCCATTAGTCCTGACGTTCTGCTTTGGAACCCACTGTGTCATCAGGCTGTGATGGGCGAGTGCTTTTTTCGTCCGTCGTATAGAATAAAATGCGACTAGATGATCCACGGATAGTTCTCAAAGTGATGTAATCAATCAATCAATCAAATTTTATTTATGAAGCGCTTTTCATACAAAAGATGCAACACAAAGTGCTTTACAGTTTGGTTAAAAACAATCCCGCCGGCCCATGTCCCCTCCCCCCGACCACCCAACAGACCCATCCCAAACCACAGACAAACGCACACACGCTCCCATGCACACTCTCTGACACACACACACACACACACACACACACACACACACACAAGTAAAACAGTAAAACAATGATGAGAGACTTGGCAGGGTTCGGATGCAACCAGTTGAAAAAGCGTCATCCTAGGAGCCGTCTGCACCAGGAGCAGAGAGCCGCCTGTAGCCACAGGGGACGACACAGGATCTAGAGGAGACCCGAAACCGAGGCCCCAGGCCCCCACCAGGTCCAAGAGTCCGACCCCCACAGCCACACCGACCACTGCTCCCAGTGCAGAGGGCTCCTCCAGAGGAAACACTGGATGTTTCCAGTGTATGAGTCACTTTATTTTGTTGGTTGAGTGAAAGGATGACGGGGTTTGAGCTGTGTACCTGCGTTTATTCTTCACAACCGCAAGAGTTACCATTATTTCCAACTCTACCTTATGCCTTAACTTCGGGATAACTCTCCCTGTCCAACTGTTTACTAGTTCGTCATTCCAAACTGAAGTATTTTCCATTTGGTGAAGCTAGTGAATTCTGTTCCACATTTGGGAAGTTGTTGAAGTGTTTTCATAACGCTCACTGGAGTTAGAAATTGGAGGAACTTTGGCAAATATGACTTTTTGGGCACTCCGTTTGCTGTATTTTTCTGTTCTTGTTGAGATTTGTGTGGATGCAGGCAAGTGATATCCAATTAATGGGCAATCAAAGGGCATTCATTAACATTGGTCCAGAAATGTCTCCGCCCCAAGTTGTTTATGTCTTGGTCAAGTTATTGTCATTAAATCATGTATTATACACTGTAAGCAGAGGATCATGGATAAAAGCGGTCAAAATGAGTTCTTTGATTCCTGTCTCTGAAAACCAATTAGGCATTGATTTCAATAATATTAACCTTGATTCTGCTTATGCTTGACGTGTGCGGCTTACACGCTGCAGACCGAGGCTTGATATGAGAAATGAATTTGCGAAAACAGATATCTCCATTTTGAAAACAAATCAGAAAGGTGTATTCCTCTACGATCTTTAACATGTGTTGTATTTGACAGTCCATATGAAAAAACCTGCTCAAGAAGTACTTCCAAAATGATTTCTTAGGACACTTATCTTTTTTTGTATTCTTTATTATCAATCAATCAATCAACTTTAATTTGTATAGCGCCTTTCCTACACAAGGCAACACAAAGCGCCTCACAACCCACATCATTTAAAGCAAATCATAAACATTAGAATCTACATATACATACAAAAACACAAGAGATATTGGTAACACTTTACATTACGGGCCGGTAAGTCCATGGTACTTACAGTGGTACTTCTAGGTACTTACAGTGGTACTTACGGTGGTACTTACGGTGGTACTTACAGTGGTACTTACAGTGGTGCTTACAGTGGTACTTACAGTGGTACTTACAGTGGTACTTACGGTGGTACTTACGGTGGTACTTACAGTGGTACTTACGGTGGTACTTACGGTGGTACTTACGGTGGTACTTACGGTGGTACTTACGGTGGTACTTACAGTGGTACTTACAGTGGTACTTACGGTGGTACTTACGGTGGTACTTACGGTGGTACTTACGGTGGTACTTACGGTGGTACTTACGGTGGTACTTACGGTGGTACTTACGGTGGTACTTACGGTGGTACTTACGGTGGTACTTACGGTGGTACTTACGGTGGTACTTACGGTGGTACTTACAGTGGTACTTACAGTGGTACTTACAGTGGTACTTACAGTGGTACTTCTAGGTACTTACAGTGGTACTTACAGTGGTACTTACAGTGGTACTTCTAGGTACTTATTGTGGTACTTACAGTGGTACTTCTAGGTACTTACAGTGGTACTTATTGTGGTACTTAGAGGTACTTATTGTGGTACTTACAGTGGTACTTCTAGGTACTTATTGTGATAATTCTAGATACAGCTGTAACTTAGTAATTCAAGGACACTACAGTATTATTCCTATGTAGTAAATGTGGTACTTCTACATACATACATACAGAGGTCATTTGTAGGATTGTTTGACTATAAAACATAAAACAACATTATGTAAAACAAACGTCTTTATTAATATGGAATAAGTAGCACAGAAAGGACAGTATAAATACATTTAATGCATATTTCAAAACAAGTTTCAAGGACAAGGGAAACACTGCAAGAACTAGGTACCCAACCACAAGTAACAAGAAGTTACACATTACCAGGTACTTACCAGGCAAGTACCAGGTACTTACCAGCAAGTACCAGGTACTTACCAGGCAAGTACCAGGTACAGTACTTACCAGGCAAGTACCAGGTACTTACCAGCAAGTACCAGCAAGTACAGTACTTACCATAGGGACTGGCCCGTAATAAGACAAAGGACTTTAACATAAGTACCAATGATAACACCAGTAATTATATAGTAAGTACCAGGTACTTACCATAGGAACTGGCCCATAATAAGACAAAGGACTTTAACATAAGTACCAGTGATAACACCAGTAATTATATAGTAAGTACCAGGTACTTACCATAGGAACTGGCCCATAATAAGACAAAGGACTTACCCATAAGTACTAGTGATACCAGTAATTATATAGTATACCATGTACTTACCAGCAAGTACCAGGTACTTACCAGCAAGTACCAGGTACTTACCATAGGGACTGGCCCGTAATAAGACAAAGGACTTTAACATAAGTACCAGTGATAACACCAGTAATTATATAGTAAGTACCAGGTACTTACCATAGGAACTGGCCCATAATAAGACAAAGGACTTTAACATAAGTACCAGTGATAACACCAGTAATTATATAGTAAGTACCAGGTACTTACCATAGGAACTGGCCCATAATAAGACAAAGGACTTACCCATAAGTACTAGTGATACCAGTAATTATATAGTATACCATGTACTTACCAGCAAGTACCAGGTACTTACCAGCAAGTACCAGGTACTTACCAGCCAAGTACCAGGTACTTACCATAGGGACTGGCCCATAATAAGACAAAGGACTTTAACATAAGTACCAGTGATAACACCAGTAATTATATAGTAAGTACCAGGTACTTACCATAGGAACTGGCCCATAATAAGACAAAGGACTTACCCATAAGTACTAGTGATACCAGGTACTTACCAGCAAGTACCAGGTACTTACCAGCAAGTACCAGGTACTTACCAGCAAGTACCAGGTACTTACCAGCAATTACCAGATACTTACCAGCAAGTACCAGGTACTTAACAGCAAGTACCAGGTACTTACTGTATAATTACTGGTGTTATCACTGGTACTTATGTTAAAGTCCTTTGTCTTATTATGGGCCAGTCCCTATGGTAAGTACCTGGTACTTGGCTGGTAAGTACCTGGTACTTGCTGGTAAGTACCTGGTACTTGCTGGTAAGTACATGGTATACTATATAATTACTGGTATCACTAGTACTTATGGGTAAGTCCTTTGTCTTATTATGGGCCAGTTCCTATGGTAAGTACCTGGTACTTACTATATAATTACTGGTGTTATCACTGGTACTTATGTTAAAGTCCTTTGTCTTATTATGGGCCAGTTCCTATGGTAAGTACCTGGTACTTACTATATAATTACTGGTGTTATCACTGGTACTTATGTTAAAGTCCTTTGTCTTATTACGGGCCAGTCCCTATGGTAAGTACCTGGTACTTGCTGGTAAGTACCTGGTACTTGCTGGTAAGTACCTGGTACTTGCCTGGTAAGTACCTGGTACTTGCTGGTAAGTACCTGGTACTTGCCTGGTAAGTACCTGGTACTTGCCTGGTAAGTACCTGGTAATGTGTAATTCTTGTTACTTGGGTTGGGTACCTAGTTCTTGCAGTGTTTCCCTTGTCCTTGAAACTTGTTTTGAAATATGCATTAAATGTATTTATACTGTCCTTTCTGTGCTACTTATTCCATATTAATAAAGACGTTTGTTTTACATAATGTTGTTTTATGTTTTATAGTCAAACAATCCTACAAATGACCTCTGTATGTATGTATGTAGAAGTACCACATTTACTACATAGGAATAATACTGTAGTGTCCTTGAATTACTAAGTTACAGCTGTATCTAGAATTATCACAATAAGTACCTAGAAGTACCACTGTAAGTACCACAATAAGTACCTCTAAGTACCACAATAAGTACCACTGTAAGTACCTAGAAGTACCACTGTAAGTACCACAATAAGTACCTAGAAGTACCACTGTAAGTACCACTGTAAGTACCACTGTAAGTACCACCGTAAGTACCACCGTAAGTACCACCGTAAGTACCACCGTAAGTACCACCGTAAGTACCACCGTAAGTACCACTGTAAGTACCACCGTAAGTACCACCGTAAGTACCACCGTAAGTACCACCGTAAGTACCACCGTAAGTACCACTGTAAGTACCACTGTAAGTACCACTGTAAGTACCACCGTAAGTACCACCGTAAGTACCACTGTAAGTACCACCGTAAGTACCACCGTAAGTACCACCGTAAGTACCACTGTAAGTACCACCGTAAGTACCACCGTAAGTACCACCGTAAGTACCACCGTAAGTACCACCGTAAGTACCACCGTAAGTACCACTGTAAGTACCACCGTAAGTACCACTGTAAGTACCACCGTAAGTACCACTGTAAGTACCACTGTAAGTACCTAGAAGTACCACTGTAAGTACCATGGACTTACCGGCCCGTAATGTAAAGTGTTACCGAGATATTAAAACAGAAGAAAGTCACAAGTCATTAAAAACCTTAAAACATTAAAATTAACTATTCATGTGCTGTCTTGACTTGGGACAAGAATGGTAGGCGTGTTGTTTGAACACGACTCTGTTACGACTCTTCTTAAGTCATATCACAGTGAACCCAGGGGGACTTTAGCGAGCTTGTCCTCCAACATGGATTCTTAAATAGATTTCTTATATGAGCTACTTTACGAAAACAAGGCCGCATGCATCAACTCAAACTTGAATGGTCGGAGCTTGTTACGTAGCATGTTACGTTTTCAGCATGCACGTACTGTTCCTCAAACATGTGTGAGTAATTATAACCTTCTTCACCTGACCTGCAGCCACAGCCAATAAAACTGTTTGGTTTTATAGCTGTGAGTCAGATCACTGTGTGTACTGTCCCTTCAGATGGTTTCATACTGGGCTCAGTACTACTACTTCACTGAGCACATTAATCAGAGCAGAGATCTGATCCATCTGTGGGGTGGGCACAGATCTTCACATTCGGGGCCCATGAGCTCCTGGCACTATACTCTAACCCTTGTGTGGTGCATCTTCCATGACTTCTCCACAGATTCTCGGAGTTACCTTTTGGGCAAATACTGCAAGAAAGATGGTGGATTTGGACGAATGGTTTGTTGTTGTTGGAGAGATGGGAAAATGTCTGTCTTTCTAGCCAGGGATTGAAAGGGAATTTGTAAGCATTTGTCTGCTATGGAAGCAAAATGTCAAACTATATTGTGTTGTTTTCAAAAGGCAGGCTTTACCACAAATGTGTTGGAATTGGCTACAATTCAGTCCATTAGCTTAATAATTAGGAAACTTACAAATTTAGTTGTTAGCCATTATTATTTGTTACTGAGGTTTGAGGGAAAATATAAACCCAATACCAATATGGCCCCCATTCTTATGAACCCTTGCAGCACTAAAATAGTAAAATGTATTTGTTTGTCCTCTGCTAATTCTCAGTTAGCTCCATTTGGTTAACATCACAAACAATAAGATACTTTATTCTTAAAATAGAGATTTCATTCCAGGGGTTGAAAGATAATTTGTTAACATTTGCTTGCTATCGAGGCAACATGTCAAACTATATGGTGTTGTTTTCAAAAGAAAGGCTTTACCACAAACAACATGGCTTAATAATTAGGAAACATACACATGTCTTGTCACCCACTATTATTTATTGCTGAGGTATGAACGAAAATATAAACCCAATACCAATAAGGCCCCGATTCAAATGAACCCTTGCAGCCGAATTTTTGTGTTTGTCCTTTGCTAATTCAGAGTTAGCTCCATTAAGTTAGCATTATTCTTACTTCTTGTTATGCTGAAGCTAGAGATTTGTTTTATTGCTTCTTCAATATGTTTTAGTTAGACTTTTTAATTTTTTTTATTTTAGTATAGAGTTATTGCCCTTTTATCTTGTGTTGTGCTCCTCATTCTTACTGTTCTGTAACCGGTGATGCAACACTGAAATTTCCCTACTCTGGGACAAATAACCGATGAATGGTTTTAATAGTTTAAAGGCCCTTAAACAGCCACTCTGAATATGTCCAATAGCCCTAAATAGTAGCAACCATTCCCTGCGTTCAACCAAGATGTCACTTTTATGGTATTTCCTACTGAAATAAAGAAAGCAGACTCAATGCACGTCCTAAAATGTCACTGCGAAAGTTTGGTGAAAATATTAGTTGACTCACCTTTTACTGTGCTCTTTGGATTGATATGTAGCTCGCGAAAATTCAATTTGGTAGACGTCAGCCAAAAGCTACCCCCTCCAGGCCGGTTCGCTTCCCCAGCCTATCGCTCGGCAAACGCCCCCTTCCAATCATCCGTGCCGGACAGGCAGCCGCTTAAAAGCGGAGCAACTCCCACTCTCTGCCTTCTCGAAGCCTCGCATGCTCCTGAAGCCTTGCAGAGAATCGTCTGGAGGAATCGTTTTCGTCTACTCACGCTACTCGGCGCGTCCCTGGCGTCCTCCGTCTGGCTGCTTGTGGTCTGCTCCTCCTCCGCGTCCCTGCACTGGTCTGCTCCTCCTCCGCGTCCCTGCACTGGTCTGCTCCTCCTCCGCGTCCCTGCACTGGTCTGCTCCTCCTCCGCGTCCCTGCACTGGTCTGCTCCTCCTCCGCGTCCCTGCACTGGTCTGCTCCTCCTCCGCGTCCCTGCACTGGTCTGCTCCTCCTCCGCGTCCCTGCACTGCTGTGGTTCGCATATCCCCACTGCTCTCCTCCTCTGCGGGCTCTTTCTGCGGGCTGCTCCGCGGGGCCCTCCGCGGGTTTATGTGCGGCTCGTTCCTTGTGGTCTGCTGCCGCACGCAGAGGTCTGGCGGTGCTGTGCGTGTCCCTGCCTCGATTGGCGGTGCCGCGTTGTCCCGTTGCTTTTCCCAAGTCTCCTGGCATGTGAGTACAGTGTGTGTGCCGACCGCGGACAGATTAATCCCGGAGTTCTGGGCTGCAGGCGGCTGGTTTTTGCCCTACGCACTTGACTGCAGGCGCCAGTTTTTTCGCCCCGAGCTTGGTCTGCAGGCTCCGTTTCACATGTGTCTGAGCTAACTGAGGGGCAATGCATATTAAATGGCATCAATCTCTATCGTCTGAGGGATATACGAGGAGCTATGTGCATTAATTCAGATCATGTTCTGCCACTTGCAGTAAAACCATGCATAAATAGCTAGGTCGCTGGTATTAAATTAGGTAACTAACTGCAGTGTTGCATTTTTGAAAGTGCAGCAGGAAGAAAAAGGGCCGAACGTGAATCTGCAATGGGTGGAAATAGTGTTGGAGCTATGAACGCATGGATCAGTGGTCGTTCATGCGCATCTGCCATAACCAAAGCAGAAGATGGCTCCAGGGGACGTCTGTTATTCGCATGGGAATGTTTCGGATTCGGGTTGATTTATTCCCTCAGGCTCTTAAACAACCGTGGGTTGGTTCTCTGACCGCCGCTGCTGCCGGTCCCCGCTGCCGTTCCTACTGATGCCTGATCCCGCCGCTGCTGTTCCTGCTGCCGCTCCTGCTGCTGCCTGTTCCTGCTGCCGCTCCTGCTGCTGTCTGTCCCTGCTGCTGCTCCTGCTGCTCCTACTACTACATGTGCCGCTGCCGTTCCGCAGGCTCCCAGGCTGCACCCGTCTCTGTGGCTCGGCTCTTTCAGACACGTACGTAACCTGGCTCACGGAGACAAGCGGCGCACGCCGGCGTGACACGTCTGTCTGTTCGTATGAATCGCTTCGTGGTGCTGCTGCTCCTGCTAATGCTGCTTCTGCTGCTTCATACTGTTACCGCTACTGCTGCTACTGCTGCCGCTGCTGCTTCATACTGCTACTACTGCCGTGCTGCTGCTGCTTCATGTACTTCGTCATCTCTCTTCACTTCGCTTCTCTTACTGAAACACTAAACAGCTACAACATATTCTACTGCCGTGGCTTTGATACAGGGTTTTGCCGTTATTATCTACGGATGCAGCAGCTGCTGCTGCCGCGGCTGATACAGGTCGTTGCCGTTATTATCTGAGGTTACTGCCGCTGCTGCTACTGCTACTGCTACTGCTGCAACCCACTCTCTCAGAAGCTTATCCTGCTTCTAATGGATGCAGCCCGGCCGAGTATGCCGCGCGGCACTGGACTCGCACCTATGCTCCCAGGGTCACTTCGGCGGTCGTGCTTCATCTCTCTACTTAATCTTCTGATTCTATCAGATGCAGCTGGCCGAGTAGCTGCGCTGAGCCGTCAATTGGACTCCTAATCAAAGGCATCCATACCGTGTTCTTCACTCTTCTGATCGCAGGCTCCCCATCATGCTGCCCATCCTGCAGCGGCACTGAACTCCGGCTCATCTTCCAAGTACATGTCTGCCCTCCTCGCAGCATCTTCCTGCTCGCCTTCCATGGCTTCTCTGCATAAGCGTTCACTACTGCACACTCAACCTTCGTGCGGTCCGAGACACGGCTTTTCCCGACCATCCTACTATCCTGATTATCTACTCTCCAACCCAAGATTCTAAGCGTAAGGGCGCCTGCAACTTCATGGCCCTCTCCGATATGTCTCTGCCCCTCCAGGTCTCGGCTTCTACACGGACGTGCCCCTTCCGTGGGTTTTGGGGGGGTTTATTTCCAGGACCATCGCGGCCTCGCTGGGGCTCCCCCACACCTCTCTGCAACAGCTGGGGCGCCGGTCCTCTTCGGCTTTCTCCGCCTACATCAGGCCAGACGCGTCCGCTATCCTGCCTGCACAACGTCAACTGGCTTCCTCGTAAGCTCCCAGCAAAGCAATACGAAGCAAAGTAAGTGAACCAATAAGATTCTGGTGGCGGCACGCACTTCTCTCAAACACTCTCCGCTGCCGCAGCGTCTGACGGAACGTGATGCGAGCGCTCACGTTCCCAGCGCGCAAAGACAACCCTGCCGCAGCGTCTGGTTGATCGTGATGCGAGCGCTCACGTCCCAGCGCTCAAAGATAACCCTGCCGCAGCGTCCGGTTGATCGTGATGCGAGCGCTCACGTCCCGGCACTCAAAGATAACCGCATATAACGGTCACAGCACATAGTGATAGCGGTCATAGCGTTAGTGATAGCGGTCATAGCGTCAGTGATAGCGGTCATAGCGTCAGTGATAGCGGTCATAGCGTCAGTGATAGCGGTCATAGCGTCAGTGATAGCGGTCATAGCGTCAGTGGTAGCGGTCATAGCGTTAGTGTTAGCGGTCACAGCATAGCAAAAAATGGTTAGCGCATAAACGGTTCACAGCATAGAGATAGCGGTCACAGCATAGCGATAGCGGTCACAGCATAGCGATAGCGGTCACAGCATAGCGATAGCGGTCACAGCATAGCGATAGCGGTCACAGCATAGCGATAGCGGTCACAGCATAGCGATAGCGGTCACAGCATAGCGATAGCGGTCACAGCATAGAGTAGCCACGACGTCTGTTCCCTGCAAACCAGGCTGCAAAACTCCATCAACACACTCAGCCTTTTTGGGGATTGTACGCGCTCCATCGCAGGAGCCTCTCCGATCTGAAGGCCGCACCGGGGCCTAGGGCGCCAAACCACCTCAATAAATACTCAAAACCATTTTCGTTTCTCGTCTCTCCAAATTGAAATGTAGCTCGCGAAAATTCAATTTGGTAGACGTCAGCCAAAAGCTACCCCCTCCAGGCCGGTTCGCTTCCCCAGCCTATCGCTCGGCAAACGCCCCCTTCCAATCATCCGTGCCGGACAGGCAGCCGCTTAAAAGCGGAGCAACTCCCACTCTCTGCCTTCTCGAAGCCTCGCAACCACCGCCTCCCCTCCTCCTCCTCTTCACCCTGCCTCCAACCTGCCTCCAATCTGCCTCCAATCTGCCTCCAATCTGCCTCCAATCTGCCTCCAATCTGCCTCCAATCTGCCTCCAATCTGCCTCCAATCTGCCAAAATGCCGCCACCAGTGCCTAGGTCCCGGGGGATTGTACGCGCTCCATCGCAGGAGCCTCTCCGATCTGAAGGCCGCACCGGGGCCTAGGGCGCCAAACCACCTCAATAAATACTCAAAACCATTTTCGTTTCTCGTCTCTCCAAAT